TTGAAACTTAACGTGAGCACATGTGACAACAAGTGGCTGGCATTAGGTGAAAAACACTGTTCAACCATGCTCAGTGTAATGTGAAGCCAGGGGGGAGGTTTGAACAGCTTCTGTTGTCTTTAGAGCTTGTTGTGCCACTTCATTCCTAAACCATTGGTGAAATTAGCCAATTTCGATGAGACAGAATGTGCAGCCAAGACACGCACACAAAACCCACATACCTGTTGTTCTGTTCTCAATTTGAGCCTCACATGCGTCTCTCTCTTTGTCTATCTCCCTCATTATGTCACACATCTGATTCTGCACTGAAAACACCTGTGGAGAGAAAATTTAAACATGTTTTCTGTGCATCTCGGAGTCCACACTTCATTTGTCTGATAGTCAAAGAGTTGTACTGCTTGAAAAGTGCTTTACGCATATAGGTGAGCACAGCTATCATCACCCCTAAGGTCCGCCCCAGATTAATTGGTCAGACCGACCATTAATCTCTCCAACCGGCACACAAGGCAGACACAAAATCAATCTCTTGCCGGTGATTCAACAGTCATATCTGGTAGATTTACATATTTTGAAATTGTAGGGAATCCTCAGGCATGAATTGGTTCCATATGAAGCTGAATCCATGAGGGTTTATCACCAGAGAATATAGAGACCCTCTGCAGGACCACAAGATTTATTGCTGTTACTTAGGTGGATGAGTCGCTCTCTCTGTGGGCATTAATCAGACTAGTAGCATGTGGCTATTGTTAACCACAAAATGACTCCTGCCTCTCTCCCCCGCCACACAAGGTGACTACCCCTTTTAAATTATGATTTATCTCCCTCCTCAGGCAACGTCACATGCCCTGTGTTTCTTTGGACTATGTGACTGGAGAACATGCTGTCAGTGATGGATCAGTGGTGCCTTCAGCGGTGCAAGCTGAAAAACTTCCTGCACTCCATTTTCATGATGATCATCATTACTTTTATCTTCCTCACCCCGCACAACACTTCCCGTCATTTCCCTCAATTGATTTATTTTATCACTGGTGGTATGGAAGCAGTCTATGGGTGTGTGCAAATGCACATATAAAAGCCAGGCTTCTATTCTAACAGGGATCTGACCTCCCCTTGAATTCCAGCATGAATCATAAATGCTTCTCTACAGGAGACAGTTTATGGATAAAGACAGTAGAGACCATAGAGTACAGAGACAGACAAAGGAGTACGTTGCCATGGTGTCCGTGTTGGGAGACAAGCAGACCTTTAGTGGTTTCAGCGATGGCCATTCACATGAACCTTAAGTCGTGAAAAGAGATCAGCGAGGACATAAAACACATGACTGTCACTGAGGAACAATCACAATGTTCTGTTTGGGGTAAAATGTCATTAAGAAGCTGTTGGCTTTGTCTGTGGTGCCTGAGGAGACACACACAAGAAAGATGCTAAACCTGGAGAGAAGATAGTGAACATGTGAGAAAACAGTGATGATGTTGTAGGAAGTGTTGGCACTTTAAACTTTAAAAAATAAAAAAGAGGGGTGGGGTTTCTGCTCCCCCTGCCCATCCACATATTCCTATGGTCTCTCTCTCCTCTCTTCCCAGCTTCTCTTTGCTCACCCCCACCTATCGAGGCAGCAGGCAGCTCTCATTGAGTTTGGTTCTGTGGGAGGTTTCTTCCAGTTAAAGGAAGTTTTTATCTCCACAGTCACCATGAGTTCGCTCATTGTGGGAACTGTTGGGTTTCTCAATAATGTTGTAAGGTTTCGACCTCACTATGTAAAGTGCCTTGAGATAGTTTGCTATGATTTGTCACCACACAAAGAAAAATCGACTTTATGTTGGCCAGTGACTACATCGAGATCCACTCGGGTGCGCACCGTATCCAAAACTAGGGTTGGGGAGCACCGGCGTGCGCATCAACTTCCACTTACAGAAAACTCTCCAGTAGAATAATCTGTGTTAACCTTTCATGGCCAAAGTTAGGCAAGAAACTGATAAAGAATGTGACAAGGAGCAGTCCGGAGGAAACAAGTGTTTGAATATACTCACGGGCTCCAGAAACATGGAGAACAGGAGGAACATAACCTTTAAAAGGTTTCCCGACATATCCGTCAAAGTATTTTATTTCGTTTAGTAAAAACGTCTTCGATGATCGATGCAACGCTGTTTGGTAAAAGAGAGAAAATCTAGTGATAATCCGGTTGGCTTCTGAGAGTCCCTTTACTGACTCCGTGCGTTCTTGCGCACTGAAGTGAAGTGCATGCTGCGCTCCTGAAACCCTCCTCCTCCACCTTCTCCTCCTCCCTCTCTGCCTTTACCTTGAACAACTTGCAAATAACCAATGAAACATCATCTGTGAACGTCAGTGGATGAGGGCGTAAACACATAGCTGTTACAGAGGGAGAGAGGGAAACGATATGAAGCCATGGCTGGAGCCTTTGTGACATTGTGTACAGCCTGGAATCAGCAAAAGGACTTTTAACATCATTATGTACTCTGACAAAGAGGTGTGGTTGCTTCAGACTGAAGAATTTGCATTAAATTTGATCAGCTGGTTAAATATTGTATTGACATTTGTATGGATAAACTGCTGGAGTTTTAAACACTTTCACTTCCAATGTGGTATTATCTAAATAACTTCCAAACTGTTAAAACTATCAACATTTCAATCAAAGTCTGTCTATGAAAATAAATTATCAGATCTAATTATTCATATCAGGATCCCCCAGATTCATCCTGTGGCCCTTTGAGGGAAGCCTGGCCCCAAGAGGCACCACTGAACCACAGGTTCTCAATTTTTTTCTCAGTCAAGGAGCCCCCCACCCCACATATTTTTTTACATTTCTATGTGAAAGATTCACACAAGAAAAATGTTGAGATATTAAATATGCATTAAAAGTATTTTTATCATGTCAACAGAGAATACCCATATACCAAGTTGCCTAATACAAATGGATCAATCAGTTAACTTCTTCATGGACAACCTGGGAGTGTGCCATGGACCTCCAGGGTCCACAGACTTCCAGTTGACAACCACTGCCAAATTTAACATAATCGTCCTTTACAAACTACCATATTTTTATGTCTTTTAAGAAATGTCAGTATCAATTGTCTAATTATTGAGTTTAAAATGATACATCTCTGATATAACTTCTGTACATTTACTTAAGTAAGATTTTTAAAGCAGGGCTTTCCCCTGTAGTTCAATATTTTTTACATTGTTGTATTGGTAGCTAAGTTTTTCAGCAAAGGACCTACAAGTAAACTACTTCTTTCAGTGCTTATATATATACACACACACATATACAGTACACAGCTACATACACTGCTCAAAAAAATGAAGGGAACACTTGTAAGACCAAGTGAGTTACACTTCAGGGATATCAATCTATCCATTAATTTGTTTTGGTGCAAATGAAAGTGACAACAGGTGCAATGGAGATGCAAAAGCAACCCCATAAAAGAGAATGGTTTTGCATGTGGTGGCCACAGATAATTGTTATTTCCTCCTTCCTGACTGACTCTTCTCTAGTTTTGTGTTCTGCTAGTTTCCTTGTCACTACTGGTAGCATGAGGCAGTACGCATGAGGCAGCACCTGCAGCCCAATCAAGTTGCACTGGTATTCCAGCTTCTCCACGATGGCACGTGCAGTCGCAAGAAGGTTTGCAGAGTTTCCCATTACATGAGAGCTGAACATGGCTGTAGAAGGTCATCAAACCAGAAGCATGACCGGTAGCGGAGGAGCACTGCCAGAGCCCTACAAGATGACCTCGAAGAGGCTACACCTGTGCTCACAGCTAAGCACCATGCAGCTTGATTGGCATTTGCAAGAGCAATTAGCAGGTCCACACTGAGCACACGTAACAGGCGTGAAACAGTCTGGGGAAGCTGTGGTGAACGTAATGCTGCCTGTAACATCATCCAGAATGACCTGTTTGGCAGCGGGTTAGTGACGGTCTCGATGGGCATATCCTTGGAGGGTCGCACAGACCTCCATGTCATAGCCACCGTGCCCTGACTGCTGTTAGGTACTGGGATGAAATCCTCAGTGGGATTGTCAGAACAGATGTTGTCGGGTGTGAATACAGGCACATGTGGGACATACACACTACCGAGTCACATTATGAGTTGCCTTGCTGAAATTCATGCATGTTGAATCAGCCAGTGATGTCAAATTTTTAACTTTGATTCTGATGTGATTTTGAATCCAGCCCTCATTGAGTTGATGATTTTGGTTTCCATTGACGTTGCGACGTAATTTGTTCTCAACAAATTGTACAATGTACATTAGTAAAGATTTTCAGCTTAAATAATTTGTTCATCAAGATCTGATGTGAGATTTAAGTGCTCCCTTAATTTTTTGGAGCAGTGCATTTACATACACATCTTTATAAACAGTTATACAAGTCCCTAGATTTTTAGACATGTGAGAATTAAACCTGAATAAATGTGTGGAATTAGGACAAAATGAAAACTCTCACCAACTCTTAACTGTTTTGCTTATTTCAACAGTGGCAAGATGTAAGGACACAATGTGATTTAATTATGAATTCTTTAGGCTTAACTATCGAAAACCTACATGTAAACAGAGTTACAGCAATTCTAGCCATTCATTGATGTGCTGTTAGAATGGGTGATGCAAGTAGAGGACGTTATATGGGGATGCTGTGTGAAACCTCTACAGACTTGGGGGTGATTACTGCTGATGTTACTCTGTTAGCATTTGTATATTGTTTCACCTTCTGGTCTCCTTGATGCATCAGGTTCACATTAAAATCTTCTGCATAAGACATCGGCTGCTGCCTGAGCCCTCCTTTCACCAGCTTCCAGGGATCTCCATAACAATGTAGAGAGTCATACAGACATGTAGATGAACGGTTGGGGTTCCATGTAATAAAAACATGGCTCTCTTCAGTTCCCAGATATTTCACATTGTTACTGAAAGTGAAAAGGTTTCCTATAACCACCCTTGATTCCAGATCTTACATAAATTTAATCCATTCTTTGCTCATGTCGCACCCTTCTACAAAAATTTCATAGAAACGAGTTGGGTAATTTTTGCGTAATCCTGGTAACAAACAAGCAACACACAAGAAAACTTCCTTGGCAGAGGTAATAATAATAACTATTTGTATAGCAGTTATCTAAACAAAGTTACAAAGTGCTTCACAAGAAAAAGGCAAACACACAGTTTAAAATGGGCAAGACTTTTAGGAATAAGTATCTGCTAGTCTGGTTCTCTTGAACCTAATGGAATACCACAGGCAACTGGATGAGCTGGTCCATTTCAAAAGTAAAGAATGAATTGTCCCATAGGACACAGGAAACTGAACTATTGTTTACATCAACTGCTTCTCACCCAGCTCAACCCAGAGACACAGGAGTCCATGGAGCTAAAGGATAGAGTAATGCATGAGATGGGCAGTATTTATAGAAGTGACCATTTAGCTGTAGAGATGCATGATGGGAAGAATGGACATATTTATATACTGATGGATTGAATCATTAATTGAGTGTCATGTTTGACTTAGTACTTGAGTAAAATGCTGGTCTAACAGATAAATCAGAGGAGGGACTTTTACAAATGTCTGACGAGGAGAAGCCCAAAGTCTTCCAGTTATCCTTCATCCAAATAGAGCAGACTTAGACACTCACTCCAACGACAACATTACAAACCCACCTGATGGAGCAGCAGCTGCTGAAAATGAAGGTGGCTGAGCTGAAGAGGAACCAGCTGTTGACCATGACGTAGCCAGTAGCGATCCAGTCAAGGAGATGTCAGGCCCTGATGCTTCTCATGAAGTTTCACCTGTCAAAGTGAAGAAGAGCTGATGAAGAGGATCCATACGTTCTTAAGCTGGGCCATATGGAACATGATCAGAATTTTTAAATAAATCAGCTGATGTCACCAAATAGCGTATGAACAACACAACAAGATCACGTCATGTGATCACTATAAAGTATTTTCATTTCACAGCATTTATTCTCTACTGATTACATATACAGTACAAACCAGTAAGCCACAACATTAAAACTAATACCATTAACAGAATGCTGGAGCTGAGTTTTATATACACACAGGCGTGTATTTCATTCACACATGAAGAACTGGTGTTATACATGTTGGAACCTGGTGAGACTCAGAATAACTGAAACTAGAGACTGTTGTACGAAAATATACAGATTTTATTTACAATGCATGTTACAAAGGGCTCATCTCAACAAGATACAAGCAGTAGGAGGCCTGGGTAGAGGTATGCACAAAACAATTCTACAGTGACAAAAAAAACACAACACAAATGCAAGATGGCGCCTCTACCAGTCATTCCCCCCACAGCAGCAAGACTCCACAAGAAAAGGACAGAAAAAAAGAACCATTCAATTGACTAGCTAAAGAAAGAAGGTCTAGAAAAACAATGTTTGTCTTCTCCTATGGTGTCTATGTCTAAAAACTAAAAGAAATAGAAGCGCATTAATTTACAAAGAAAACTTAACAAACATTGTTCAAAAAACCACATGCAATAGAATAATAAAAATACCTTGCCAAGCAGGAACACCGTCCTTTTTCACAGGTGGAGGCCTGCAGGTGACAGGAATCTGTATCTTTAAATAGCCATGTTAATATTACCTTAAAGGGACACTAAACTCTATTTAACAGCATTTCCATAGCACTCAGGCACAGCTTGTCACTTGGCTGATCACTCCTTCACTCCAAACATGAAGACTATATGAAAAATGTTTCAGAATTATTTGACAAATCTTTAGTTTGATTCAATGAGCTAAAACATGTATTTCATGCTCTAGAGTTTTACAATTAAGGTCTAGAACATATTAAGCATATAAAACATAAGCTGGCCACAGGCTCTCTAGCTCTGGTGGGCCTCAAAGCAGGAAGAAAGGCCAAGGTGAGTTTCCCACCCCCTTTTATAGACCACGCCCCTTACCTGGACTTCCTGTTACCTTCCCTTCCAAACAACTGGTCTCGAATCACCTTTTGGGAAATTATTTGTTTAGTCAAATTCTCATTGAAATTTGATCAGGTGAGAACAAACCGACCTGTCGGACACAGAGCAGGTGCGTAGGAGAGGCCCGAGAAGATTTTCACAGACTGCTGCGGGGGGGTCAAGCGTCCTGTTTTGACAAAAGCACTTAATAATGGTTATTGTATATATTTATGGAGTTTATTGTAATCTTGTGAGGCCACATTATATATTATATGATGACGATGATTTAGAACTTAAATTACTGGTGATTGTGTGCTTGCCATAAAATTGCATTTCTACAGTTTCCCTTGCAAATGAAGCCTGCCATTTTTTAGGGATATGATGTCCTGTTGCCACTCCTTATTTAAGATGACTTCTTATTGTACCAAAATGTTTGCCGGATTAGGGTCTAGTAACGATGTTGCATAATACATTTAAATATTAACATTGTCTGTGATAGTGTGTAATCACGTGGCAGTGGTGTTTTATGGCCACCATGTCTGAAAATTAAGCACACATTTCCCATAAACCCTCAGTCATAAAGATAATGTTATGCTTCTGAAGAGGATAAACATCATTTGCATTTACCATCTCTCTTTGGCTCGGGGACATCTTTGTGCCTTCAAACCATCACACATCATCTACTATGTGAAATATGTTTCCAATCAGGAGATACAATGACCTCAGTTACTGTAACTCAAGTGTTAATTACTCAAAATGACTGAGGATTATTTATCCACAGTAATTGCTGCATAAATTCTTGCCTTTTACACAGAGAGTGAAAAATAACTGTCTGCGGGGATTCATTTATCTGAGACGCTGATAGAAAAGTCTGGATTGACCTACATACTGTCAGTCAACAACCTTAACAGAGGCTTTGATGGTGATTGTTGATATGCATCAAACTCATCAAACTGAAATAAAGATAGTGTACGTGATTAACTTTATACTGCTAAACATCAGCATTTTATTATCACTGGGTGGTTGGCTACAGTACAGGTTATAAATCCGGCCTCCTCCATGTTAGCAGTTGCGGCACAGATCAAACAAAAAAACAAAATACAAATCAAATACATTTTTCTCAAAGATGGTTTCTGTTATTTGGGTATTTCTTATCACACTGATGTTTTCATTTCTCTGGTATTTGATGCTATAAAAAAGGTTAAAGGTCATGATTGACAGCTGTGACTGAGTCACAATCGTTCAAGCATGTCCATTCAATCCTGTGGCTCCATCCCTGATTGCTAATGTGTAAACTGGCTACAAACCCACATTTGTGGGTATGTGTTTCTTTAAATCTATTCAAATCCAACTCTGTAACATTCTAAGGAGAAATAGAACCATTTGCCTTTGACAAATAAAGGCCGTATTACTGAGGTCACATTGAAGATCTCTTGTGGTGTCAACAAAGATGGATCTTTTTGTCTGAAATACCAGACCTCACATTTTTCAAGGCCACTAAGTCTCTTGTCTGGGATTTTCTGACGTACAAAACATGAATGGAGGCATTTGTATTAACCATCTTTTACTTTTAAATATATATCCTCTGCCAACCACTCCACTGAAACACCACTGAAATAGTGCATGAAAATGTTTGGCAAGTGAACCCGGGCTTTCTGCTATGAAGCAAGGTGGCTCTTCTCCTCTCTCACTCACCAGAAAAGGGAAAGAGCGTGTGCATCATTGAAAAAAATATCAGAGACTTCAGAGCCAGGAAAGACAGAGAGGAGGATTCTGGGGCATGTTTTGCTGCTGAAATAAAGACTAACAATGTATCAATAGTAGATTTAGGCAGACTTTTCATTTTGTCTTAATTTATTGTTTCTGCTTTCACACCATCTTCTTGCACAGCTGCAGCATTCCCACACAGACAAAGCAGTTCTGGATCACAGTCAGTATGCTGGTCCATTATCTGTCAGAAGAGTTCCAGGTTTGGAGAAGCTGCACTCCACGTGCCTACGAGAAAACGCATGTGATTATTTTGAACTGAAGTGAAAAAAACAAATTCTTGCTTTCAATGAGACGTCAAGGACAAACGAACTGTCGAAAAATAAAGCTTCTGAGGTAAAATAGACTTCTCTCCTCTCCTCTCCTCTCATTGTTGCTTCTTCTTATCTCATCACCTTAATTATATCCTCTTCTCTCACCTATATCCTCATTTCGTCTCCTTCTCTCTTGTTTTCCTTTCCTTTCTGTTCCGTTCCTTTCCTTTCTCCTTCCCTTGTCTTGTGTCCTCTGCAGGGGTCACAACATCAGTCTGAGAGGTGACGCTGAGAATCATCCAAATACAGTTTGTGTTTTAAAAATGATTTGTTCTGACCTTCAGAAGAGATTAGGATAAAACAGTCTGAGCAGCTTTTGAATGAAAACTCTCTGAAGTGAAACTGCTCATACGTCACACATAAATGTTGCATGAGTCATCGCTGTCATGACCTTTTGATTGGCAAATTCAACCTGCACCACATCACGGCAACAGGCAGTAAACCATTGTGAGATTAGAGCAACAGTCGTAACATAACCTCATCTCTTCAAGTTATTTTAAATTACTTTTAGATTCCTGCTGCATGATTAACACTTGTGGTACTTTAAGTACATATTGTTCTTTATGTTTTTGATCTTTTACTTGTAAAATCTGAGACGTTTTATTGTAATGGCACATTTTTTACTGTGGTATTTTTTTCTGCTGCTACTCATACTTTTTGAAATTGATTCAAAGTAAATAAAAAGAGATGACCAATAATGATTTCAGTTTAAGTCTCCTGCAAAGGTTTTGTTTGGTAGATGATTTTGTTTGTCATGTTTTTTTGCACTTTTCTCACTAATAAGGTAATAGCAGCGTCATCATTGAGGTCAATGTATCTGTGACTCTTATAATGAGCTTGTTATCATTATTATCATCACATTATGATTTTTTAAATAATTCCTGTGTGGTTGGTGGGTGAATGGGTTTTGAATGAAAATTATAACACACATTTTCATTGTCTTAATCCAGTCATCCACACAAACAACACTTATAATACACCAATCAATCAATCAATCAAATTTTGGTGCGACATCCTCTGCCCTAACCCTCATCAAGAGTCCGAAAAAACCAAAAAATTATTAAGAGTGGAAAAAACGTGACAGTCACATGAGAGGGATCCCTCCCCCAGGACGGACAGATGTGCAAGAGATGCTGCGTGTAACTGAGAACATCAGCCAAGAGTGTTTACAACACTGATGAGAAGAAACAGTTTGTAACATAATGGAAAGCAAATTAAGTGAGGAGTTATTGTCAGTTTGTGAGTAGACATATTGTATATCAAGAAGTCTTGTTGTAAATAATAGTCCACAATCAGACGCCACAATAAACCACAGTCCATCGTTATGATCCCCTGCCGCCATCAGGATCCACCATCATCATGTTCTTAATACTTTTGATCTTTTACTTTTGACATGTTTGACAAGTTTGAGTACACAATACGTATATGCACAAAATACATACATATATATTACTACACTGTATAATATTACA